AGGAGGAGGAGGAAGAAGAAGAAGAGGAGGAGGAAGAGGGACGGCAGCAGCAGCAGCACTGCTGAAGATACGTTCCCTGGAAGTCGTCCCACGCCGGTGTGGGGGGGTTGCAAAGCCAGGGAGACGCAAGACTCGGGTGCGGCGGACTTGGGTTGGCCGACGGGACCGTCAAGAAGATGGCGAGGCCCAGCATGAAATGTGACGCGAGCTTCCGCTGCGAACATCCCACGAAAACTGGACCACCAAGACGTCAAAAAAACGTCAGCACACCCGAGTTCCTGCGAACTCGAATCTTGATCTTACCTGACAAAGGGGGGCGGGTCTTCTCAGAGGGCACCGGGAGTCCTTGGACCTTCTGGGAAGTGTTCTGAGCCCTCGTCGAAGGCAGCTTCTCGGAGGCGGCCTCTCAGAAGGCGCCAAGGCTTCTGAGAAGCCCCGCCGCCTTCTGAGAAGGCCTGCCCTCTCTCGCGCCCCCCCTGGGCGCGCCGCCGCTCGCTGGGCGGCGCCGACGGACACACTTCCTCGGCGCTGCGGCCACGCGCGCGGCGCCGCGGCGTGGGAGGGGTCGAGGAAGCGCGCGCACCTGGCCGGCTCACGCGGCACGGAGGCGCCCAAGTGTGTGCGTTTATGGTTGGGGCGATCCGACTCGAGACTGTGGAGCATAGCTGGACCTAGACGCTGTTTTTCGTTTTGCTCTCGTTTCGTGTTTCGCGTTGCTGTACCTGTTTTCCTGTGCCTCCCTGCCAAAAAGAAGAAGAAATCAAAGACAGCAGCGTGGAATGGGGACTCCCCGCTGCAATATCCCGGCAAAGAACCGCGGGGAATGCCCAGAAGCCGCGAGCAAGACATCCACATCCACGCCCAAATCCTCCTACACATTCTATTCCTCCAGCTTCTCCCCATCTTCCTCGTCCTCATCCTGTCCATTTTGCTGATGGTGTACTGCCGCCGCCTCATGCGCCCCCCGCCTCCACTGCGTTTTCCTCCTCATCGGCCTCCTTCTCCTCCTCCTCATCCTCCTCCCCCTCCTCCTCCTCCTCCTCCTCCCCCTCCTCCTCCTCCTCCTCCTCCTCCTCCTCCTCCTCCCCCTCCTCCTCCTCATGGTTCCTGGCCCTCCATCTTCCCATCGCGCCACTGGTCGTCCTCCACCAGTGGCACCTGCTCCTGCATCTCCTCAAGCACCCCCACCCATGCATCCCCCTACCCATCGTCCTCCTCCTCTTCCTCCTCCTCCTCCTCCTCCTGGCCAGCCTGCCCGCCCTCCTCCTCCTCCCTTTCCTCCTCATCGTCCTCCTCCTCGTCCCCCTGCTCCTGCACCACATCATCCTTCTCCTTCGCCTGCTCGCGCTGAACACTGCTACCTGCTGGCTGAGAAGCGACCTGGGACAAAAAACGAATCGCCTGAGTGGAGCGAAGAGGTCCGAGACAGAGAGAGAGAGAAAAAGAGAGAGAAAGAGAGAGAACAAAAAAAAGAAGAACAAAAAAAAGGTCCTTGAAGGATTCCGGTCTCTTGGAGGCACATTGGAGGCTGGAGGCCCATTTGGAGGCCTCCAGAGGCCCGAGAGGGGCCGAAAACGTGCGAAGACCTCGACCGTCGATCCTTCCTTCCTCGCTCGCATCTCGGCCCAGGGGCAGCCAAACGGCTCCCCGCCCTCCCCGCGGGCGTTGAAAGCCCGCCCGTCCGCCTGAATGTCCCGCCCGTCAGGGTCCCGCCTATTAGGGTCTGAGGGCTCGGCCTGCGTTGCCAGTCGGGCCACTCGCGGAACGAGCGACGGACAGCAAAGCGCAGCGAGTGGATCGCCACCGCCCTCGAGTTAAGGGCGCCAGAGGATTGCTCCTCCCTGAACCTTCCCTGAACAATGAAAGAAAACAAGCACATCAACAATACGCGCGCACACACACACACACACACACACACACACACCATATGACAACGACAAACAATAGTGCAAGCGCCACTGCGAGGGTCCCCAGATCCCCTCTGCGTCTCTTGTCCGAACTATGACCGCCTCGTGCGCATGGAATCTGCACGTCAGCGATGCCGTAAACCTGCACGACGACGCCAGCTGCTCACGGGATCCCCATCCCCGATGCCACGATGCACAAACCCCTGGCGCCAACCAACCCTTGCCTAGACTCATACCGACAGCCCGCCTGCTCAATACGAAGACCTTCAGGAACTGCAACCACGAGTTTGCTGAGGACCTGCGCGCGTGCACAACAAACCCACGCTAAGAACAATCCATCTACAAATGACCCTGCGCTTGCCAAGGCACCTCTGCCCTTCCGAGTGTCCTTGTTGAGATGAACGCCCTCGGATTTCTCTCAGACTTCCGTGCCGAATTGAAGCAAACATGGATGCGGTCGTGGCAAACAACTGCAGAGTTCGAGCACCCGTGAAGTCTCATCACACGTCGCAGCGCTTGCCTGGACAGTTACATGCTACCCCATTGTAGCTGCAGCCCTCTCTGACAATATTCCGGTCGCGGCTCCAAGGAAACAGTTATGCAAACAGTACGCAGTCTTAAGCACAAGTTCGTGCAAATGCGTGAATGACTCGTGCGCGCAGGAACCCGCATGCAAAAACGCGTACGCGCGCGTGCGCCACGCATGCGCGCCGTACTTGTGTGATCGCGTGGTTGTTGCGCGTGTGCTTACGATTGAACAGGTTGTTGCTTGCGTTTGCGCTTACGCACACGATTGCGATCATGCGCTTGCAAGTATGCATCCGCCTTGTCGATGACGGTGTTTGGGATCAACGTGAGTTTACAATGCGATCGTGCGTACGCTTGTGCTTACCATGGCGATTGCGAATAACGTGCCCAACCTACTTGCGATGCGGCATGATGATACGTTGTCTCCCGATCAATCCTGACACTGACGGATCCTAGCAGTGATTGGGCACAAGAACTAATCCTGCCGATGTCGGGCGGCAACCAAAACCCGAGATGCTTGGGATGTCGATAGGTGGTCGGGTCATACCTGTAGAGAGAGAGTAAAGAATAAAGGACATATAGCCTACTGCATTCAAAAAAAATCAAAAATAGAGAGAGATTGTGGATAGCTGGTACATGATATGAACATATGAGAGAGCGTGATCCACCGCCGCTCTACTGTGGAAAATTGCCAACCTTTTCCTCCGGAACCCTGGGGTCGCCCCCCCCCCCCTCCGAAAATCCCTCCCCCCCCCCCCCCCTCCCCCCCCCCCCACCCCCCCCCCCCCCCTCCCCCGGCAAACCCCCCTCCCTAACCCCTCCCCCCCCCCCCTTCCCGCTCGAAAACCGGGGGGGGTCACTACCTGTTCGAACCCCTCCCCCCCCCCGCCCCTCCGGATCCGGAAAACCGGGGGGGGTCACTACCGGTTCGAACCCCCCCCCCCCCCCCCCCCCCCTTACCGGATCCGGAAACCGGGGGGGTCACTACCGGTTCGAACCCCCCCCCCCCCCCCTCCCACCCTACTCACCGCCAGCAAACGACTCCCGGTCCCCACCACCGTCCGCATCACATCCCCCACTGGTGTTCCCAGCACCACTGTCCTCACCACCGCTGTCCCCACTGGTTCCACCACCGCCCCTACTGTCCCCACCAGTGGCCCCACCACTGTCGCACTGTCCCCGCTGTCCCCAGAACTGTTCCCACCACGGTTCCACTCTCCCCACTGTCTCCACGGCCCCAACCACTGCCCGACTATCCCCACTGTCCCCACTGTCCCACTGACTCCTCCGCTGTCCCACTGAGCTGTCCCACTGTTCCCACCACTGTCCCCACTGTCCCCACCACTGTCCCCACTGTACCTCTGTCCCATTGTCCCACCGCCGTCCTCGCCACCGCCTTCACCACTGTCCCCACCACCATTGTACCCTCCACTGTCCCACTGTTTCCACCTCATTCCCATTGTCCCCACACCACTGTCCCCACCACCACCGTCACCACCACTGTCCACTGTCCCCCCCTGTTCCCACCATTGTCCCCACCACTGTCCCCACCACTACCGTCCCCACCACTGTCCCACTGTCCCACTGTCCCCACCACTGTCCCGCTATCCCCTCACCACTGTCCCCACCAACACCTTCCCCACCACTGTCCGCACCCCCACTCGGTTTTCGAGGGGAGAGGGGGGGTTCGAACCAGTAGTGACCCCCCTCGGTTTTCGAGGGGGGGGGGGGAGGGGTTCGAACCGGTAGTGACCCCCCCCCTTTTCATGATGAGCTGGGGGGGGGGGGGGAGGGGTTCGAACCGGTAGTGACCCCCCCCGGTTTTCCGGAGGGGGGGGGGGGAGGGGTTCGAACCGGTAGTGACCCCCCCCGGTGGTTTTCCGCCAGCAGCGGTTGAACACGCTCTTTCGAACATAACGGAGAGGCATGAAAGGAAAAAGAGAAAGAGAGTTTGAGAAAGAGAGGGTAGAAAGTAGCTCATAGATAGCAGAGATCCTTGATTCCCAAAAAAATCATGCACAGGGGGCCTAGCAGAAATCCACCACCGTGCCCATGGCACGAAGTGGGGTCCTTCAAGACTCTAAGCTGTGCTGCTGGCAGCCAGGATTCTCGATTCTTGCGGGCCAGGACTCCGAATTTCCCAGCGGCTCCTGGGAATGTTCGGGAATTTCCGGGAGCTTCTCGGGAGTGTCGCGTGCGTCTTTTGGAAGCCAGAAGGGTCCCAAAACGGGCGCAGAGGGACCGAGGAGGAGACGGCCCAAGAGAGCCTCGAGTCGCCTCAAGATCGCCCCCAGATCTTCAAGATGGCTTGAAGACGCCCCAAGAGGCCTCCAAAAAGGCTCAAGTGAGCACCCAGAGCGCCACCACGACAGCCCCTAGAGGCCAAAATCGCCCCAGTCCTTTTGGGACAATATTTTTGCAGATTCGTTTGATCGGGCTTCACAAAATTCCAGGCAGCCCTACAAGCCTGAGAGATCGTCCCAAGACAACCCAAGAGGCCCCCAAGATCGCCCCAAGACGGCCCAACAGGCTCCCAGAAAGGCCTCAAGACGACCCTAGAGGGCCCCAAGACGGCCCAAGAGGCTCCCAGGACGGCACAAGAGGCCCCCCCAAGGAACCCCAAGAGGGGGAACCAAACTGGCGTTTGGAGCCTTTCCCCCCCAAGATGGGACCCAAGGCCCACGATTCGCCTCAAAGAGGCCCCCAAGAGGCCCAAATGAGACCCCAAGAGGCCCCCAAGAGGCCCCCAAGAGGCTCCAAAGGGGACCCCTAGCGCTTTCAAAACTGAATCCAAGAATTCCCCGAGAGGCATCCCAAGACACCCGAGCCTGCACCTCTGACCCACAACCCAGGCACAGTGGCGGGATGGGCCGAAAGCCACAAGAAGTTGAAAGAATATGTAGATATTGAAAGCATCAGCGAAAATGTCCTGCCGATTTCGGTAGGCGGCTGTGGTCATGGTTTCCTGGGCTCCTGAGATTTCGGCCGGTTGTCGAAATCCAAACTTGCCAGGCTCCCGAGATCAGACAAGCGCGTTCCGCTACTCGCAAAGTAACTACTTGCAAATGGCCTGGATCCGCAGAAGGGGATCTGCGATCCATTACATCGAAACAGACGTTTGTTCCCAACCATCCTGTGGTGTTGGGTCCTCGTTTTGAAGAGACAGCACCCCGCGTTCACTCCTCCCGCTGCCCCCTCCCTCCTCCCATCTTCATCATCATCAACAAACCATCCTGTTGTGTTGGGTCCTCGTTTTGAAGGGACAGCGCCCCGCGTTCTCCTCCTGCTCTCCTCTCCTCCTCGCTCCACTTCCTCCTCCGATTCCTGCCTGTGCCCTCCAACCAGTCAACAATTTTGGCACACCCCTCACACTTTTCGTGGCTCCATAGGAAGCCCCACCGAAGGCCCAAATGCCAGCGTTCGCATGCGGCCACCGCACCCAGTTTGGCACAGCCCTCACACGTTTCGTGGCTCCATAGGGAGCCCCACCGAAGGCCCAAATGCCAGCGCTCGCATGCGGCCACCGGACCCAGTTTGGCACACCCCTCACACGCTTCGTGGCTCCATAGGGAGCCCCACCGAAGGCCCAAATGCCAGCGTTCGGATGCGGCCACCGCACCCAGTTTGGTACATCCCTCACACGTTTCGTGGCTCCATAGGGAGCCCCACCGAAGGCCCAAATGCCAGCGTTCGCATGCGGCCACCGCACCCAGTTTGGCACATCCCTTACACTTTTCGTGGCTCCATAGGGAGCCCCACCGAAGGCCCAAACGCCAGCGTTCGCACGCGGCCACCGCACCCAGTTTGGCACACCCCTCACACTTTTCGTGGCTCCATAGGGAGCCCCACCGAAGGCCCAAATGCCAGCGTTCGCATGCGGCCAGCGCACCCAGTTTGGCACACCCCTCACACGCTTCGTGGCTCCATAGGGAGCCCCACCGAAGGCCCAAATGCCAGCGTTCGCATGCGGCCACCGCACCCAGTTTGGCACACCCCTCACACGCTTCGTGGCTCCATAGGGAGCCCCACCGAAGGCCCAAATGCCAGCGTTCGCATGCAGCTACTGCACCCAGTTTGGCACACCCCTCACACGTTTCGTGGCTCCATAGGGAGCCCCACCGAAGGCCCAAATGCCAGCGTTCGCATGCGGCCACCGCACCCAGTTTGGCACACCCCTCACCCGTTTCGTGGCTCCATAGGGAGCCCCACCGAAGGCCCAAATGCCAGCGTTCGCATGCGGCCACCCACAGTTTGGCGGCAGCCCTGCACGTTCGAGTTTCGCTCCATAGGGAGCCCCACCGAAGGCCCAAATGCCAGCGTTCGCATGCGGCCACCGCACCCAGTTTGGCTCACCCCTCACACGTTTCGTGGCTCCATAGGGAGCCCCACCGAAGGCCCAAATGCCAGCGTTCGCATGCGGCCACCGCACCCAGTTTGCGACACCCCTCACACGTTTCGTGGCTCCATAGGGAGCCCCACCGAAGGCCCAAATGCCAGCGTTCGCATGCGGCCACCGCACCCAGTTTGTCACACCCCTCACCCGTTTCGTGGCTCCATAGGGAGCCCCACCGAAGGCCCAAATGCCAGCGTTCGCATGCGGCCACCGCACCCAGTTTGGCACACCCCTCACACTCTTCGTGGCTCCATAGGCAGCCCCACCGAAGGCCCAAATGCCAGCGTTCGCATGCGGCCACCGCACCTATTTTGGCACACCCCTCACACGCTTCGTGGCTCCATAGGGAGCCCCACCGAAGGCCAAATCGCAAATGCCAGCGTTCGCATGCGGCCACCGCACCCAGTTTGGCACACCCCTCACACTTTTCGTGGCTCCATAGGGAGCCCCACCGAAGGCCCAAATGCCAGCATTCGCATGCGGCCACCGCACCCAGTTTGGCACACCCCTCACACGTTTCATGGCTCCATAGGGAGCCCCACCGAAGGCCCAAATGCCAGCGTTCGCATGCGGCTACTGCACCCAGTTTTGCATACCCCTCACACGTTTCGTGGCTCCATAGGGAGTCTCATCGAAGGCCCAAATGCCAGCGTTCGCATGCGGCCACCGCACCCATTTTGGCACACCGCTCACACGCTTCGTGGCTCCATAGGAAGCGTTTGCACAGGGCCAACGCACCCATTTTGGCACACCACTCACACGTTTCGTGCCCCACAGAGGGCCCCACCGAAGGCTCAAATGAGAGCGCGCGCATGCGCCCACCGCACCCATCTTGGCACACCCCTCACACGTTTGGTAGCCCCAATGGGAGCTCCACCGAATGCGGTGCACACAACGAAGGTATTCACAACTGCATATGGTTGGGTCCTTCACCAGGCTAATTTTTCGGACGTTTGCGAATTCGCCGGCCCAACGGGCCAGAGGCGTGCTAAGATCTCCGGTGACTGCTTTACAATCTTTCTACTTCGCGCGCGCGGGGCGGCCCCTGGGGGCCCCCGGGCGGAAAGTACCCCGGCAAGGTCCCGAGAGAGTCCCGGGAGGAGTCACCAGGGCGCTCCAGCAGCGCACCAACGCGGCTCCGAGACGTCCCCGAGAGCCCCAAGAAGGGCCAAGAGGCTTCCAAGAGGCCCCCAAGATGCTACATGAGGGGTCCGAGATGCCACAAGATCGCTCCAAGACGCCCACGATGGCCCCCAGACGCCCCAAGAGGCCTCCAAGAGCACTCCCGAGAGGGCCCCAAGAGGCAAAATTCACTGCTTTTCCTTAGGTTTTGGAGAGATTTTGGCGTTTCCACCTTTTCGGCTTCACGACACCCCAAGACGGCCCAAGAGGCCCCCAAGACCGCCCCAAGAGGGCCCAAGAGGCCCCCAAGAGGGCCCCAAGACGGCCCAAGAGGGCTCCAAGACGGCCCAAGAGGCCTCCAAGACGGCCCAAGAGGGCCCCAAGAACGCCCCAAGAGGGACCCCAGGGGGGGAACACGAAACAATATTTCGAGCCCTCGGCCCTCAGAAGTCCCCAGGAGGCCCCAAGAGGCCCCTAAGAGGCCCCAAGAGGCCCCCAACAGGCCCTCAGGAGGCCCCCAAGAGGCCCCCAAGCGGCCCCAGGAGGCCACCCAAATGCCCCCCCCAACACGCAAGCAAGTGCCAGCGACGCTACACTATGGGCCGGCGGAATGAGCGAAGCGATTCAATAATCACTTTGCGGGTAGTGGAACGCGCTCGGTGAGAGAGTGCAACCGCGTGGCGAAGTGCCGGCCTGAGTTCGGTAGGCGGCCGGGCCCCTGGGGTCCTTGACTCCATGGCTCCAGTCCCAGGTTCTCGTGTTTTCTGCTACGGCCCCGTACCCCGTTCCTTGCGAAGACGGGCAGAACAAAGAGTAGAGAGCAGATGATTGACAGCACACATCAGAGGAGTAGTGAGTAGAAAGAGCAGAACGGATATAGTAGTGGATAGGGAGTAGAGAGTAAAGAGTATAGAGAGAGTAGAGAGTAGGGAGCAGAGAGCAGAGCGAGTAGATCCGATTGAGATGGTAGAAAATCGGCAAATTGAGTTGGCAGATCCAGATAGATACACATGTATAAGTAAAGACATAGATATATATATAGAGAGAGACATAAATATAACTATATAGAGAATTACACTACAACACCAGACAGAGCATACATGTGGACCATGACAGTGTGCATGTTGGTAATTCCAGTGGCTCCCCCGAGCTCTGACACATGTCGCATGCGTAGCCTTCTGGCCCAGAGCGCTCAGCGAGCGAGGCCACCTGCAGGTGTCGCACAAAGTCCTGCAGGGCCAACTCCTTGCGAAGCTGAGAAAACATCATGTTCATCACATCGCCCAGTCAGACCGACACGCCAGACGCATCAAACGTCTACTCGACTGGGCACGTCGGCTCTCGCCCCCGCGAGGCCGCTCCGCGGCGGCTCGGGGGCGAGGGGCTGTGCCGACGAGGCGGGATGCGGTCGGCCTGCCGCCAGGGCGGGCCAACGGCTGCTCGGGCATCAGGCCACTTGCTGCCCAGACGAACGAGTTTCGATTCTTTCCCAGGCAGCCGCACCCTCAGCGTGGTGCGATGGCACACGGAGGTTGGCTGGGGTCGGTGGAGGCTCAGAGCCCTGCAGCCCCTGGGCGGCGGAAGCCCGACGACCGAATTCGCAGAATCCGTCGTCACGGCGGGGGCGTGCGCACACTTCAGTGTGGGCATTTTGGCCCAGAGCGCTGAAGCGACGAGGCCGGACCGAGGGTAGCTGAACTCCTCGGGGGCCAATGCCGCGTTGAAAACATCGTCTCATTTTATCGTGTTTGGGGCACGTACCCCACTCGTTGGGGATTCGGCTGGAGCATCTGCAGCCGTGGTGCTGCGTTTACGTGCGCTGATGTTTGGTCGTATGCGCATGCGTGCGCAGCCGCGTCTGCGCTTGGTTCGGTCCGCGTGCGTGCTCGTACTCGTCCATCCGCCAACGTGCCTCTGGCACGCAGTGCTCGGGCATCAGGTCCTTGCTGGTCCGCAGAGTTCAAGCAGCCGGCTGGATTCGGGTGGTTGTTGAGGGCCACAGACCCTCGAGCTCTGGTGACTCTTGGGACGCAGAAGGACATACTAGAAAATGTGTCCTTGGGAGGCGTGCGTCCGACCAGGTCATGGCAAGACGAGACCATAGAATAGCATTACCCCCGCTGTGTAGCCAAAAAGCGTACGCCAGTGAGGTCACAATACAAGATTTCTCAGCGCGTGTGTCGCCTCTGCAGGGCCGACGCACACATAGAGTTTAAGTATGTTTGCGTGAGGCCATCCTTCTGGGAGCATCCTGACGCTCATGCGGGCTCCTCTTTCTCCCGGCGTGGCGCTTCGAGAGGTCTGGAAGCCGTGGTTGCGAATACGTGTCCCCGACGTTCGCCAAAATGACCGCGCGGGCCCGTCTCGTGATCCTCCTGGAGGCCTCTCGGGTCGGGTCGTATTGGGAGAATTGGGGCCCAAAATCGCCGCTATGGCCTCAAGAGCGTCCAAGACGCCCTAAGATGCACCCAAGAGGACCCCAAGAGGTTGCCAAGAGGTTCGATGAGGGGCCCAAAGGCAGGTGACTTTTCCCATGCCCACCCCAAATCTCTCACGGACATGGCTGGGACGGAAAGTCCTCAAATTTGGTCAGATTGCTGTAAAACGACCACACAGATAGGCTAGCATGGCCTCCATGGTTGCACAAGATGACCTCCAGGATACCATGAAGAGGCCCTCAGAAGGCCTCAAAAGGGCTCCGATGCGGCCAGCCCCGAAGAGGCCAAAATCGTTGAACAACAAATCGTGGCTCAAAGGATTCCGTGCCTGATTTGGCCTTCTCGCAAACGAGAGGTACAGAAAGAGAGAGAGAGAGAGAGAGAGACCGCATCGTGCGAGTCTGCCACACTATGGGGATGGTTGAAAAAAAGCACCGTGGCGCTACTCTACTATATCCTGCTAATTTGAAACTCCCATCTTCGCCATGCCCGTGCGGCATGAGCATAGTCGCGTTCTTTCTCACATGTTCGGCCTCAGACGAGCGGACCCAAGACGGGTCCACATAGTCTGGAGAGGACCTAGAGAGAACCCAAAATGCTAGAGGCTACCAAGACGCTCCCAGAAAGCCCCAAGAGGTCCCAAGAAGGCCCCAGTTGAACCTACTAGGGAGGCTAAGGCGAACCAGTCAAGCGGAGGGGAGATCATCGAAATTCCGAAAGCGAGCCGTGATATTCCAACAATACCTGGTTTGGAAGTATGAGCATTCAGAAGGGGGAAGCAACATGAAACAATACAAAACAAAAGAAAGAATATCCCAGCTCGTTGTTGCAAATTCCCAGGACGTTTTCGCAATTGCCTGATTCGCCCCTCCGTCTTCCTGTTTCGCCTTCCCCTCACCACAAGGGATCCCAGGAACATGATCGGGAGCACGCCATCTTCAGACGCCCCGAGGGACCGTCGTAACAGCGCAATATCCTGGAGAATGATACGAGGATGATACAGCGAACTCCAATCGAGAGCGGCATGCGTGCGCGTGGATACCAGGAAAATATCAGACAGCCGTGCGAGCTGGCCCACAAAAAAAAACTGAACAGGATGTGTTCTTTTCTTAACACGCTCCCTAAGGACGGGTGAGCGAGTGTAGAAGTTGAGAAGGTCCGTCCGCATCCTGGACATCGCGGCGCGACAATCTGAGACCAAGCACAGATCGACACACGGTGGCTACTCTCCAGATCTGGCCACCAGCCTGATCCTAAGCCACGAGTCGAGCGCGAACCGAAGCCAATCGGACCAAAGGTGAGCGAGAACATCGATCGAATCGAATGGACCAAACTCGCCGAAGTCGCGGAAATAGCCGATCAAACCAGATCGTGCACAGCCCTCGGTACCCGCGTTCCTGGCAGCACTCCTCCCAAACAAAGGAGCGCTGGCCGTGTCCGCACGGGTGACGTCCCGCTGGAGGCGGTTCTGCTTGAGCTTCTCTTCCCTCACCGCGGCGCCCCGAGGCCATTCTCATTGCGCGGGCCTTGCACACGTGCTGCAGCGGATTTCTGCGTGGAGTTCTGCGTGGATTTTTCCCCGACGAGGGCGAAGAGCGAAAAAACCAAGTGAATTTCACGTGGATTGTGGTTTAGTCTTCATTCCTGGCCAAAAAAAATCCGCACGAAATTCACCTCAAAATCCAAAACGACATTCTCCAGGACACCCCGGGCCAACCTTATCGTTTTCAGAGCGAAATCCGCTCTGCGATGTGGGCGCGATGGCCGTTCCCGCGGCAATCCCCGGCAGCACCACATCCCCTCGCCCGACCCTTTCGTCGCGCACTGTACTGCACGCGCGCGCGCTGCACGCGCGCGCACGACAGCAGAAGCAAACGGAGCATCCACTGGACAAAAAACGCGAGACGTGAGTGCATCGGCGGCGACGATAGGGGCGAATAGCCCAGGGGCGGGCATTACACGCATTCGCCTGGGAGCCTTTTCGAAGACATAAATCATCAGCGCACCTGGATACGTGTATTGCTCCCCCCTGGGCTATTCGCCCCTATCGTCGCCTCTGAAGTGCACGCACTCGCGTGCCCCATGCGTACTGGCGTGCTCGCGACGTACACATACGCGCGCGCATGCTGATACACTGAAGCACTTCAGGGCACTGAAGCGGCACCAAAGCGGCACTAGATTTCCCTGAGGCTCTCTGCAGCAGGGCGGTCACTACACGAACGCGCCTTGCCTGCTGCAAAGTCCTGCCTTCACATGGCAAGCTGGGTGCGGCTTTGCATCAGCCCATGGAGAGACTCTGGCAGGGAGAGAATTTGAGAGAGAGAGAGAGACAGAAAGACAGAGTGACAGAGAGACAGAGAGGGAAAGAGAGATGGGGAGAGAGAAAGAGATGGGGAGAGGGAGAGGGAGAGAGGGCGAGAGCGCGAGAGAGACCTGAGAGAGTCGACCCTTTCAGGTGTGCCCCACCTGGAGCTCCGCCGCGCGCCCCACCACAAGCGTGACTTCTGCCATCGCCCGCCAGGGCAGGCGGAGACAAGTAAGACCAGCCGACCACCAACCCACCCATCCATCTCCTCCTTCCTCTTCCTCCTCCTCCTCCTCCTCCTCCTCCTCCTCCTCCTCCTCCTCCTCCTCCTCCTCCCTCCCTCCCTCCCTCCCTCCTCCCTCCCTCCCTCCCCCCTCCCTGCCTCCCTCCCTCCCCCTCCCTCCCTCCCTCTCCTCCGCCTCCTCCTCCTCCTCCTCCTCCTCCTCCTCCTCATCCTCCTCCTCTTCCTCCTCCTCCCCGCCCCGCCCAACCTCGAAAACGCGGATATGGGCTGAGAGATGCTCTAGTCAGGTCGGGATCGGCATACCGAATAGGGCCCAGGCCCCCACCCCTGAAAACGGGCGACGCAGGCCGAGTGGCCCCCCTCGACGAGGAGACACCACGGGCGGCGGGAACTGCATGTCGCACCCCAGAATCGAAGTCTGCATCCCTGCGGACGCACCCTCGAAGACGAAATCAGGAGCGATAACCGAACACACCTGGGAACAATCCCCGGAGACAAGAAAGGTCGGGGCTCTGGGGGGACAGCATGTCTTCCCCAGCAGGTCGCAGCACAAGGACTCCTTGGGAGGGAACGGATGTTCGGAATGCCCGAAATATATAGGAGTGTACGGATGTACGGTGTACGGATGTACAGATGTACCCGCGGGCCCACACGGGAGCACCCCCACCATCCGCGTTTGGGCGAAGCCTCTCTGGAAGGGTGGGAGGAGCACAGAGTCTGAGAATTTGTCCGTGCTCGCTCTGGTGGGGCCTCCCTGGAGAGGTAGGGGGAACACAAAGCCTGAGAAACTGTTCGCTCTGGCGGGCCCTCGCTGGAGGGATGGGAGGAACACGAAACCTGAGAAATACTATAGTAGAACGATACCCTCCTCGCTCTGGCGGGGCTGGCGCTGTGGCAGGGCCTCCCTGGAGGGGTGGGAGGAACAGAAAATTTGAGGCCGCAGGGCGCGCCGCCGCCCAGGAACCTCGATTTCGGCCCCCCCCCCAGCACCAGAGCGCTCGAAATCTACGTCCTTGGGAGGTGGTTGGCGCACACACGGGGTGCAGCTCGGGGCCGTTGGAGGCCCCCTCCTGCGGGCCCACCGCCGCTCAGGGACGTGGATTTTGGACGCTCACGCACCGGAGGAAGCCAAAATCGAGGTCCGTGGGCGGCGGTTTTCCACCTGCGGCTGATGGTTTTTCAAGCGTCACCGCTACGGGGAGGAAGGGGGTCGGGAGGAGGGGGGGGGGGGGGGGGGGCAAACGTGCGTTGACCCAAGGGGCAACGACTGTACTAGCACGAAAAAGTGCAAACAATTTGAAAAATAGCAGTAGTGGGAGTCATAGTGAATACCAGGATAATAATAGTAACGATTATAATGGCATGGTTGCTACCCATAATAACAAGATACGAATTACAATTGGTAGTCGGCCCGGTGGAAAATAAACTTCGGCCTCGCCGCCCCCCACCGCTGACCAAGCGAGCCTTGGCCAGAAATGGCCAACCAAGGGGACGGGGTGTAATTACACTATCCGTAAGATTACTAATATGACTATTATCGTACGAGTCTATCTTTTGCCACTGAAACTATTATGTGGTGCATTTGCTTCCCTTGTGGGACACAGCCCGAATGATATCTGAGCAGGCGCGGTCACACCCGCCGTCTCCATCATCTCCTCTGGGAGCCCCATGCAGCGAAGATGGGACAGAAACTCCTGCAGCAAACAAACTATATTGAGAGCAGCCAGGGCCACTGCCAGAAACTGCAGTCTTTGTGGCTGTTCCAGCGTGGCCTCCCCAAATATGTTTCTGGGGAAGAAAAAACAGTATCAACGACACGCGGCCATGGGGCACCCTTCAGCGTGGTACTGCAAAACCACTGGGCATTGGGACAGAATGACGGAACCGCACGCTGACGGGCTCCCAATGGCGGTTTGTCATACATACTATAGCATCTCATTACCCTGGCGGCATGGCCAGCGAGCGCCCGCCAACGAGCATTTTCGATAAGCTATAATTCCAGTTTGTGGCTATCAAATACAAGCGGTAAAATACAAGCGGGAATCGTGATTAAAAAATGGACTCCCTGCTCGGGCGAACCGCGGGGGTGGCGCCCGTCAAATTGAAACGTACGGCGGCAGCGCCGGTGATTAGCGCCGACGCCCGGCCGCCAGCGAGAAGGCGACAGGAGCAGTACGGACTGGGGGAGGAAGGGGGGGGAGCGGGAGACAAGGGCGGCAGAGACAGGGACCGTCGGCGCAGCCACCGCCGCGTTATTTCCCTGTTTGGAAGTCGGGCGAAACTCCCGCCGCCGCGATGGAACCTCCTCGTCTTCCTCCTCTTTCTCCCTCCTCCTCCTCCTCCAACTCCTCCACCTCCTCGTCCTCGACCTCCTCCTCTCCTCCTCCTCCTCGTCCTCCTCCTCCTTCTCCTCCTCCTCGTCGCTCATGCCGCTTGCCATCATCCGCGGCGCGTTGGTTCCCCGAGCTCTCCGAGCCCTGGCGCGCGTGATCAAAAAATGTTTCGCGCCCCGCGGGGTCTGTTCATCAGACCCAGGGGAAGCATCATTTGTTAATCACAAGCTGACACTAAGCCTTCTGAGTGCGCGCGTCACCCCTGAGATGACCACGCACTCATAGTATGAGTATGTTTGGGTGATGCCGACTGTTTCCCTCCCGAGGGTGGCTGCACCCATGTACGCAAGTTCGCCTTGTGACTCCCGGCTCGCTGCCCGTGAAAGCCTGTGCTTGGCGCACACGCACAGGATCTTCACGGTTTGAGCTGACTACCTACCAGACCACCCCAACCTAACCCGAAGACCCAAATTTCGGTTTGGGGGGGTACGGGTTCCAAATCTGGGCCTTCGGATTGGGTTGGTAAATCTGGGCCTTCGGGTTGGGTTGGGGTGGTTTGGTGGGTGGTGATGAGCGTGTTCCGCCGCCCACGGCCTCCGTTCCCCCCTCCTCGCCTGCCCTTCTCCTAATGAGGATCCGAAACCTGCTTCCCTGCCAAATGTCGGCCGCGGCCCATGGTCACTGGAGGCGGCCGCTGGCGAACGGAGCCCAAGACCGAGCCCGAGCACGAGCGCAAGCCCGAATCAGGTCGGGCAGGTCCCCCTACAGGCGGATTTTGGACGAAAAATAAAAAGTTGTCACAAAAATACTCGCCCTAGTCTTGAAAATACTCCAGATTTTTTGATGCTGCAGACCAGACGCATTGGGAAAAAAACGATTCCTGTCCGCTTAAAAGCTTGCCCTCACAGGCGAGTCGGACAGCATTCGCACTCGCTGGCAGCGTCGACCATACTAGACAAACGTAGCGTGTGCGCGCGAAGCCCAGACGGCCTCCAACCGTTTATATAATACCCACACGCACAAAGCTAAATGCGTCGCCAGGTCAGACCGAGCTGACAACAGTGCTGCAGAGTTGAAAGTCGGAGACCAAGCTCAGTGAATAACCACGCAAACTCAATCGCCCGGCGAGTGGCAGCACACAGACGGGATGAGCCAAGCAACGAATTGTGGGAGAATCGCGAGGCGCAACTGCCAACGCGCCAGTGCCGAGACAGCCAGGCACATACGGACAGACATATCATCAAGGATGGGAGGAGGAGCCAGAAGAGGAGGAGGAGGAGCAAATAGAGAAGTCAAAGGCTACCTCGCCCCTTCGCGGAGGAACCTGGTGTACGCCCCCGAGAATTCGGAGGGGGAAAACTGATGATGCTGGATGCCACTATGGAGCCTGAAGAAGGCATAGAGGGAAAGAGCGCGCTGCAGGAGGAGCGAGTCTCCTCCCAGCGCTCCCGAAACACTTCTCGGAGGCATGCATAGGAAATAATCGAGGGCCCACTCCGGAGCCAGACTTGGCCCATCGAACTGCTCTGCAGTCAGCCTTCGAATTGTTGGGCAGCGTGCAAAATGTGTGAGGCTATCGTCGCCAACGCCACAAGCAAATGCGCAAGGGCCACGAGTTTGAAGGCGACGTCGCGTGCACCAACCGTCGCAAATTGTGCGCAAGTAAGTGGCTTGGACTCGGGGGGCCGCACTGCGTCCCAGAACCTGGAATGTGATCAACGCGCGCTCCACGCGGCGGCCTGGGAATGTCCGTAACGGCCACCTGTCGAACCGACGGCGCAAGTGGACATAGGCAGCTACGGGCTGGGTCTCCCTGTAAAAAAATGTCGCCCTGCCCTGGTAACCACAACGAACGCTCGAGTCTAGGCCACTTCCTCCAGGGTGGAATGCGGCACGTCGCTGTAGATCACAGTCGGCGCCAGCAAGCTTGAACAAGAAACAGTTTGGCGCCCAGGACGCTCTCCAAGCAGCATGGGCCAAGGAACAGGAAGGACTTGGGAGTAGATCCCGCAACCTCGATACGCGTTCCTGCACGCGGAGGCAGACGTGGGCGGCAATTTCGAATCGCACCACGCGGGCCTTCGCAGCTCCTGCGATGGCGCCTAGATCCAGCAGCTCGCTCGGAAAACTGACGGACAGCAAGTCCCGCAGGCAAGATGAAACCATCCAGCACGTCGGGCCTGGCAGCAGCAGTTGACAGGCTCTCTGCTCATGGACGAGGAACTCAGGCGGTAGGTCATCCAGCTGAGCAACAAGCTGTACATCAGCTCAGTGCCCGAAAATGCTCAAGACATCGTCCCCAGACCATTCTTTACTATTTTTGAATATTCCCCCTGTAGAGGGACGGGCCTGGCTTAGTCCGAGTCCAGCACTGGCCCGAGCTCAGCCCCAGCCCGAGCCCGAGCCTGGGGGACCAAGCCCGAGCCCGAGCCCAAGCACGAGCCCAAGCCCCTGGCAACGCACGCCCGACCCGACCATGCAGTGATAAAAATGTGTAGCATATCGCTTCCTGAGCGGTGTGGGCAGAGAGCGACCGCCACGGAGCTTGTACTGCAAGATTCCTGACCGCGCGCGTCGCCATGCCGTGGCCGACGCACGTGTCTAGCAGGAGTCTTTCAGTGCCTGGGTGGTGCCGACCCTGGGCCGAGCTCACAAGCACCGGCCCAGCCCTCCGCACCGAGACCCAGCTGCTCAGCCCGGCGCTCGCCGCCCGTCCGCGCACGCGTGCACGGCCCCGGCCGCTGCGGGCGCTCGGGGCGCACGGCGCGCTGTCAACGGGGGGCTGGCCCCGCCTGGGGCGTCGGGGGGGCACGCGGCTCCTCGCTGCACCGCTTGCTGGCGCGCTACACCACCCCGCGTGGCATCGCCGCGGTTCGCGCCGCGTGCGGCCGCACTGCGGACCACGGATCCCGCTCCGGGGATTGCACGGCCCTTGCATTTCGGATTGCACGGCCCTTGCATTTGCCTTGTGCAGTTGCAGTTGCAGTGTTTTGCACCGTTTTGCTATCAGTTGCACTCAGCTGCATTGCATGCATCGCATACTTAGCAGTCCGTTGCCTTTGTATTACATTCGGTCACTTTGCAAGGAGTATCGGTGCACTGCTTAGCAGTTTCGTTTCTGCGTGTTGTTTCGCTTGTTGATTATGTTCATTGCGGTGGTTTGCATGAACTCCTTTGCGTTGCCATGCAAGGACAACGCAGTGCAGTGCAAAGCAGCGCAGCTGCTATGCAAAACATTACACAGCACTGCACTTCAAATCAGCGAATGCAAAGCAAAGCGCAACATTACAAGCAAAGGGAATGAGAGGCCAAGCAGAGCAATGCAAGGCCACCAGAAAGTAGATCGAAGAATCGATGTGAAGCAAAGCAAAGTTCAGCACGGCAAAGCAAGGCAAACCAAGCACAGGAACCAATTGCCCAATAACTGCAGCGCTTCGAACTACACGGCCAAGCAAGGCAACGCAGGGCGATGCAAAACAAAGCAGCGCGACGCAGCAGCGCAGCCTGTGGCCGCGCGACCTATCCCCCGGCAGCATCGAGCCCCAGCCTCGGCACCGGCCTTCAGCAGAAGCAGCAGGAGGCGCCGAAGCGCGGAGGAGGGAGGGGGAGTGGGGCGGTCGAGGAGACGAGAGGACCCTGCCAACGTCACGTTGGCAGGGTGCTCAAACGTGGGGCCAACGAAACGTTGGCCCAGCGTTTGATCACCCTCCAAACGTGCGCCGGCGCCAGCGCGTGCTCGTCCACCGAAGCCGTTCGGCGCGCCGCGGGCGATGCACGGAGGGCCGACGCGGGCCGCGTGCTTTCGGCGGGCGACTTCTGCCGCGTCCTTTGCGGCACCCGTGCCCACGCGTCGGGGCTCCAGCCGCCTCCGCCTCCCTGCCCGAGTGCCTCCTCCCCCCAGCAGTCCCCATCGGTCCCTGCCTCCCTCCGGTTCTCTGGGTCACCCAACTTCGCGCATCGCGCCACGCGATGCGCGGTGCGCTGCTATCTTCGCGCCCTCGCGAGGCCACCTTGGAGACGGGCGCTCCTCCGACCCAAGCCGCGATGCGCGGAGCACGACCACCTTCGCGCCCCTGGAGTGACTTGGGCTTCCCTCATCCCCACCCCCTGAGCATCGCTTTACAGATCCCTAGCCGCACTGGCATGGCCTTGGCCGCACGTGCCGACGGTCGCCGACGTACCCCCCCTCCCACCAGGTGGGGGTATACGCTGTTCTCTTCGGGCCTCGCGGGACCTATCCCCACCTGGGCGGGCGACAAGGTGGGTTTGAGATACCACGGCCCAGTGGGGATGGAAATCGGTTAGACGATGCTCATCCTCCTCCCCAACTCCGACTCCTCCTCCTCCTCCTTCTTCTCCACCTCCTCCTCCACCTCTTCCCCCTCCTCCTCATCATCATCCTTCTCCTCCTCCTCCTCCTCTTCCACCCCCTCCTCCACCTCCTCCTCTCCTCCTCCTCCTGCGACCAAACCTGACGCCAGCATGAGTGTGACGACGAGCTTGTTCGGAGGTGGGTGGCGGTCTCCCCTGTGATCTGGGCCAGACCCGCCACCACATGAGTCCTCCTCCTCCTCCTCCTCCTCCTCTGCCTCCTCCTCCTCCTCCTCCTCCTCCTCCTCCTCCTCCTCGGGCTGCCCTCCTCTCCGACACCCACTCCCTCCCCATCGGAGCATCAGGAGCAGCACGGGTCGCCTCTTCCTCCGGGCCGCCCGCTCCCTCTCCGCGTCCTCCTCGCCGGCGGGGCAGGCGTCTCGGGAAGGCGCGATGTGCGCACGGGGCACCTGCCCTCAGACTCTGCTGCCCCCGCCCGCCCTCCTCCTCCTCCTCCTCCTCCTCCTCCTCCTCCTCCTCCTCCTCCTCCTCCTCCTCCTCCTCCTCCTCCTCTCCTCCTTTTCCTCATCCTCTCCTCCTCCGCTTCCGCCTCCGCCTCCGCCTCCTCCTCCTCGTTCATAATTATTGGTACGTTGTCATGTATATGTTTATGTACTTATGTATTGTTTGTATGTCTTCACGTATTTATGCATGCATGAATGTATTGATTTATGTCAGAAAGAGGGGGGCCGAAGGGTCATTCATTGTCCCTGGGTGCGTGGCTAAATGGGGAATTCGTGGTGAGAAATATGTTTGTTGCGATGTGGTTGTTGTTGTTGTTGCTGTTGTTGTTGCTGCTGCTGCTGTTGTTGTTGGTGTTGTTGTTGTTGGTGGTGTTGTTGTTATTGTTGTTGGTGATGTTGTTGTTCGTTGTCGTCGTCCCACCCGCGACCCACCCGCGACCCACCCCGCGACCCACCCCGCGACCCACCCCGCGACCCACCCCGCGACCCACCCCGCGACCCAACCCGCGGCTCAACCCGCGACCCACCCGCGACCCACCCCGCGACCTACCCCCGACCCACCCGCGAACCGCCCGCGACCCACCCCGCGACCCACCCGCAACCCACCCCGCGACCCATCCGCGACCCATCTGCGACCCACCCGCGACCCACCCCGCGACCCACCCGCGACCCACCCTGCGACCCACCCTCAAGGGAGGAAAAACCACCCTGGACCCGACAACTGACGTTTACTAGACGGCCCTGGGCGTTTACATAACAGCCCTGCCCTGTTCGATGTATTCCTTGTGTGCGTTTACTAAATGGCTTCGCTTGTCGGGGTGATTATCATAGTGTCGAGTTTCTGCCCTCTACACCCGCGACCCACCCGCGACCCACCCACGACCCAACAGCAACCCATCCGCGACCCACCCGCGACCCACCCGCGACCCATTTGCGACCCACTCGCGACCCACCCGCGACCTACCCACGTTGGTTTAACGAAAAAGTCGGCGCCTGCGGCGGACTCGTTGTACAAGTTGTGCAACGTTGGCGCCTGCGGCGGGTTTTTCCCGAGTCTCGCAAGCTGCCGACGTCCCCACCGCCCCCTCACTCATATCCGCATCTGCGGGCTGCTACGCATTGATTCCTGTAGTTATGGATGTAGTCATGTACGTATGTGTGTGGTTACGTATGCAATCATATATTTATGTATTACGTACGTACACGGTGTGTTTACTCTGTTATGGAATTAATCATTTGTTTATGTAGTTCCGCATGTGACTACTTATGTGTTTGTATATGTAACAGATGTTGGATCATGTAGTTATTCGCTTATGTATTGCTAGTATTAATAGTATTACTAGTTGAATTGTTATTACGGTGGTAGTAGTAGTAGTAGTAGTAGCAGCAGCAGTAGCAGTAGTATTCGCCGTACTAGTACTAGGCATAGTAGTATGGTGCTGATGTGATTGTCATCATTATTACTGGTCTTACTATTTCTGACAGTACCAGTATTATGATTGCGAACATTACGACCATGACATTTACTGGTGGTAGTGGCGTTAGTAACACTAATGTTAGCATATTAATTAATACGATGGGAATTGTTGCTCGTTGTACGAGCGCTGCTAGACGAAGTATTGAATGCTAGTATCACCAGTGCCCTTATTAGTCGTAGCGCGATTATTGTCTGAATCGCCTTACTATTCCGATTGTATTTACTTTCGATATTATTACTGGCCTGGCTGTGTTTAGTGACCGTATCATGGTTCTTCTTATTCGTAGTATGATTACTCTTCGTCGTACTAGTGTTACTATTCTTCTTCGCAGTAGTATTAGGACTCGACATGTTAATTCAAGTAAAAATATGTTTTTTTTCCGTAGTACGTGTTTGCAATCGCAGTACTCGTATTACTCGTAGTAGTAGCATTAGTAGTGTTGATACGCTTCACAGCATTGTTATTAATAGTATCATTAATAATGTTATTCGCCTGCTCATTTGTACTGTTAATATTAATGAATACTGATATCAGCAATAAAGAGCCATTAATGTTGTTATGGCTGCTAGTATTATTCATGTTAGCAGTGTTATTGGTATTAGTACGTGTAGTAGTAGTAGTAGTAGTAGTAGTAGTAGTAGTAGTAGTAGTAGTAGTAGTAGTAGTAGTATCAAGTGGAATGGGTAGTAATTACACTATTGTGCTTAGCATTCGAATTCGCCATCTGAATATGCTTAGTCGGGTCATTAGTGGTAGTGTGAGTCATAATACTCGTAGTATGAGTATCATTATTTCGAATGTGTCGTCTTCGTCGTATGTTTGTTACTATTCGTTTTATTAGTATTCGTATGAGTAGACATAGTCGTATTACCCGCCGTATTATTAGTAGGAGTGCTAATAAAAGAAATAGAAGTATAATGATTATTATCATCATGCGTATTCCTCTTCTTGGTGTTAGCATAATTCTTCTCCGTTATACTCATATTATGATTACCCTCCTCCTCCTCTTCCCCCTCCTCCTCCTCCGCTTCCTCCTCCTCATCCTCCTCCTCCGTCGACTCCTCCTCCTCCTCCTCATCCTCCTCATCCTCCCTCATCATATTCCTCCTCCTTTTCCTCCTCACTCCCTCCCTCCCGCCCTCCCTCCATCCCTCGTTCCGTCGCTCCCTCCCCCCATCCCTCCCTCCCTCCGTCCTTCCCTCCCTCCCTCCCTCCCTAACTCCCTCCCTCCCTGCCCTCCCTCCCTCCCTCCCTCACTCCTTTTTACCCCTCTCTACCTCTGTTCCCCCTCATCCTCCTCCTCCTCCTCCGCCTCCTACTCTCCTCCTCCTCCTCCTTCACCCTCCTTCCACCACCTCCACCTCCTCATCCGCCTCCTCCTCCCCCTCCTCCTTGTTCTCCTCCTCCTCCTCCTCCTCCGCCGCCACCGGCACCGCCCCACCGCCCCCCTTTCGGGAGGGGGGGAGGGCGGCGGAGCGAGGAGGGACGGCCCGCGCGCCTGCAGTCGGAGGCCCGACCACAAGAAGCCTTCCACCAGAAGCCCAACCCTGAGGCCCCTCGTCGTCTTCCTCGGCGCCGTGGTTGCCGTCCTCCTCCTCCTCCTCCTCCTCCTCATCCTCCTCCTCCTCCTCCTCCTCCGTCTCCTCCTCTTCCTCCTCCTCCTCCACCTCCTCCTCCTCATCCTCCGCCCCCCCCTCCTCCTGGAGGAGGAGGAGGAGAAGGAGGAGGAGGAGGAGGAGGAGGAGGGGGGGGACGAGGAGGAGGACCAGTGGAAACCCAAGGGTCATCAACGATGTTGGAATTAACCCTCCCTCCAAGCTCCCTCTTCATAGGCCCCTAGAGCGGTTCATTTCCATTGAGGGAACTGCCTCGTTGGCAGATAACAGTTTGAAGATCCTGAAGCGTGCCAATACATTGATCTCGGGATTCCAACGCCACGTATCAACCTGACTGCTGCGTCTTGACGATCCAGAACCGTGCCAGAAGGCCATGTTTGGGACTTCAACACAACAAATCAACGGAACTGTTGCGCCCGCATAATCCTGAATCCGTCCAAAGCGCCACTTCTGGTACGTTGATCACGGGAAGCCGTGAAACTCTTGCAAAGTTCAGAAACACATGTGTGCGGCGCTAAGGCGAGAGCCACATGTTGAAAAGGAACCGCACTCTACCCGCGGAACTCTTGCAAATTATTAAAAAGAATGTGCGCGGCGTAAGGCGAAAGCCACATTTTGAAAACCACCCGCCCTCAACTCTTAAAATGTTTAAAACGAATGTGCGCGGCGCTAAGGCGAGAGAGCCACATGTTGAAAACCACCCGCCTTCAATCCGTGAAACTCTTGCAAATGGTTTAAACGAATGTGCGCGGCGCTAAGGCGAGAGCCACAGATTGAAAACCACCCGCCCTCAGTCCGTGAAACTCTTGCCAATGGTTCTAAAAAATGTGCGCGGCGCTAAGGCGAGAGCCACATGTTGAAAACTACCTGCCCTCCATATGTGTAACTGTTGTCACGTCTTAAGCGTCAGAATCATAGATGGTGAGGAAGTCTCAAGCGAAACGCCCTGCCCGCCCTAAAAACTAGCCTCGGAGTGCGACAGGGAGAAGTCATTTATAAGGAGAAGGAATGGAGGAGGAGGAGGAGGAGGAGGAGGAGGAAGAGGCGGAGAAGGAGGAGGAGGGAGGAGGGAGAAGGGAGGGAGGAGGAGGAGGAGGAGGAGGGGAGGAGGGAGGAGGGAGGAGGGAGGAGGGAGGACGAGGAGGGAGGCGGGAGGGGGAGGAGGGAGGAGGGAGGAGGGAGGAGGAAGGATGGGGGGGGAGGGGAGGAGGGGAGGAGGGAGGTGGAGGAGGAGGGAGGCGGGAGGAGGAGGAGGGGAGGAGGAAGGGGGAAGAAGGAGGGAGGAGGGAGGAGGAGGAGGAGGGGGAGGGAGGGAGGAGGGAGGAGGGAGGGAGGGAGGAGGAGGAGGGAGGTAGGAGGAGGGAGGAGGGAGGAGGGAGGAGGGAGGAGGGAAGAGGGAGGAGGGAGGAGGGAGGAGGAGGCGGAGGAGAGGAGGAGGGGGGGGGAGGGGAGAGGGAGGAGGAGGAGGAGGAAGAAGGGAGGAGGAGGAGGAGGAGCAGGATCATCATCATGTCAGCGTTGCATCATCATCATCATCATCATCATCATCATATCATCATTATCATCATCATCATCATCATCATCTCATCATCATCATCATCATCATCATCATCATATCATCATCATCAATCATTCATCATCGCATCATCATTATCATCATCATCAGCAGCAGATCAGCATCCATCTGCATCAGCATCAGCATCATCATCATCAGCCCAGCATCATCTCAGATCATTCAGCAGCAGATCATCAAATAATCATCACCAGCATCCTCATCCTCATCCTCATCATCATCATCATC